CACATCACTTTAGAAAACATGTAAAAAGGAACAACATCTCCAGAAAATAATTCCAGGGAGAAAGGTGCAGAGGAAAAGGAGAAAGAAAACCCCAAACTTATTTATTGACTTTTTTTTCTCAAGCCCTTACATTTTTGTGAATGCATACATGTCACCACAACATTTGCCTGTTTTCCTACTTTCTGGGCTTCTGTATCTCCAGGGGCCCTCCATCTGGAAGTCTAGCTGGCCCTCTGTATCCATGGATCCTGCATCCTCAGAATCAGCCAACAGTGTTGAAGATATTGGGAGGCGGGGTGCACATATCCTGAACATTCTTGTATTTTTTTCTTATTATTCCTGGACTGGCCGGTCTTGCATAACAACAGTTTCACAGCGTGTATATGGTGTGAGGTATTACAGAGTATCTAAATAGGACTTAAACTATGCAGGAAAATGAGCATAGGATGTGTGCACGCAGCATGCCATTCTGTAGAAGGGACTTGAGCACGCTCATGCTTTGGTCTCCCAGGGAGATCCCAGAACTACCCCCTGTGGATACTAGGGTCATTGCTATAAATCTGAGCCTTGCTTTGAGAAGCTGCAGGAACTCCCTGACCCAGCTTATGTTCCAAGAAGCTCATCTTTTTCTGCTGCCGTTCTTAAGAAAAAAAGGTGAACTTGGAGATGCTAAGCTCCGTTTTACATTGCAATTCTAGAACTCTTTCCTTCAATGACTTGCTGGCCATTCTTAAATTGTGCTTGTCTGGGCTGAAGAACATAGCATCCCTGTCCCTGGAGAGACAAAGGAACTTTGCTCTTTTCCCAAAATACCTCTCTTTCCCAGAGCAATTTCCCCTCCTCTGAGAAATGCTGTCGTGTCAGGCTGCACTGCCCTTGAACCAGACAACTTTCTCTACTTCTTCATCTGTCTAAATAAAGCTAACCTACATTTGCTGTCTAATTCATTCGGAGGCTTGCTGGTGCTATTTAAAGTCCCCTCAAGGCCCCTGAGAAAAACAAGATGCTTTATCTCCTGGAAGGAACTGTAGCTTTGCTGGTCATTTAAGGAATTCAGGCATCTTAAGAATCTGTTCAGCCTTCTCTGATTAGGACACGATGAACAAAGGAACTCTTCGGGGTTTTGGTTCCACGCAGCTTTCATCCCTGTATAGGCGTGTGTGTGTGTGTGTGTGTGTGTGTGTGTGTGTGTGCTCCAAGTTTCATGAAATCTAACTTTTCTGAAGATTAATCTGTCATTTTTTTTATTGTGGTCTCTGATGACTGATTAGGTCACTGTGAGTTTATTTCCCCCTTTGGGAACAACTGCGATAGTTTAAAGACAGCTGCCATCTCAGTAAACCGAATTTGAGCATTTGGTCTGCTGCCACCTCTCCTTTCAGGCTTCATGGGCCGTTTCATTGGAGAACCCTGTTTCCTTCATGTTCCGGAAAAGCAAATTGTGCCAAGATGGTTGCCGAGCAGGGCTCCACTGTGCGTTTATAAAGGTCTGGGTTCAGAGGCTTGGGATTTGCTGTTTGTTTCTTCAGATCCAGAATGTATGGGGTCTGTTGGCTTGCCTCGTGGGAGGGCGAGCTGGTACAGCTCGACTGTCTTAGCCATTAGGGCCCTGCTGCTACCTTCCGCGCAAGCTTATTATCAGCATCCACTTACCCAGCCAGGATGCTGTGACGTCCATGGCAGAGAGTGAGTCAGAAGCCACAAGCTAACAGGTCTATTCCTTCCCTCTGTCACCTAGGAAACCAACTCATCATCCACAGGAAATGCAGGCCCCGATGGGGAGTGTGCCCAGATCAGGTTAGAAAACTGGCAATGAGCTTTTCAAAAGAGGTCAAATAATAATACGCAGAATTTTGGTCTGAGGTGGGAAGCGGATCCAGCCTCAGAAGTGTGGATCAGGGGGGTGGGGGTGGGGGAGCTATCCCGCAGAAACAGCAAGAGAAATTAATCAGCTAAAAGCAAGCAAGATGTCTGCTTTAGAAGAACCTGACCAAGGGCAAGAGATGTACAGACAAGATCTCATGCCGCAAGCAAACAGCACTTTTGGCCCAGTAGCTGAGGGTCTTTGGAGGTGGGTATGCTTATTCTGTGTGTGAAAAGAGAAGAGGAAATTGGCTGTGCACCCGGCCAGGCTTTCTGCAGTTTAACATCCCACAGTATGGTCATTATAGTTTATTCCCCAGCACTGTCTTCTCAGGAGTCACACGTTAATTTCCCCTATGCTTTGTCACTGCTAGCTGGTGCTGTGTTTTTCTTGACTTTTTATACCAGTGAGCCGTTGTCTCTAGTATTTACTTCTGGTTGGTCACAGTGTCCAGACACCAGTGGGTATCAGTTTAACGTGGCTGAGAAAACCGACCTGTACAGCCTCATGTTGTTTGGTAAACTTTTTGTTTCTGGACAGATTTACACTCCCGTTGCTTTGTGGGTGAGAGATCCTACGTCAGAGTTCATGCATCCTGCCAGAATTTACGGTTCTACACACAAAGGATTTCTGAGTGGGAAGCAAAGCTCCATAATCATGTGGCCCAGCCACCTCATTTTTCATACAAGACCTGTCTAAGATTGCATGGTGAGGTGGTGTGTAGGTGTAGGTTGGTGGCAGGGGACTTCTTCCTGCGGTGGGGAGAAGAGATAGCAAGTTTAATGGAAGGCTCAGATGGATCTCCAGGAAACATAGCTGCCTCTGAGACTGTTAAAATGAATGAGCTACTTTGATTAATGTAAGAAGTCCTTGTTAGAAGGGACAACTGGTCTACCACGGGCTGGGCAGGGTGTGCCAAGAGAGTATGATGCTACACCCAGAGTACTAGCTGAACGGGGAACAGTGACGGCCGTGAGTGTGTCTAGCAGAGGGCAAATCAGTGTTAAGAGTTCCGGTCGCTGCAGTCTTAGACGAGATGAAAGATGTGAAACTTTTTAGCCTGTAGCCTGGAGGATTTGTTATAGGAGAGGAAGGCGGGGGTACTGTCAAGCAGGTGAATGGCTGTCTTGAAGACAGCTTGGATTTATTCTCTGCACCTGAGAAAGACAATAAGGAAGTGGCATGAGTTAGAGGGTGGTGACTGGGTGGCGATGGTGCACGCCTTCAATTCCAGCACTCCGGAGGCAGAAGGCAAGCAGATCTCTGTGAGTTCAAGGCCAGCCTGGTCTACAGAGTGAGTTCCAGGACAGCTAAGATTGTGACACAGAGAAATCCTGTCTTGAAAACAAACAAACAAAAATTTCAAGGGTGGTGAAGTTTAGGAGTTTATTTTCATATTATTAATTTTCTGATATCTCAAACTGACAAAGTATGCTTGATCAAAGGAAAAAGCCATGGGATAATATCAGACTAAGTGATACGGTAATTAATTAATCCATTGTCCCTGCAGGAGTTCCAATATGCATTCACTCCTCCAAAGGATTTGGAGGATTTGCTGAACACCTGCTGTAAGGCAGTTGTTCTAAGCACTAAGGACATGAGTGGTACCTACTTCTTGTGCTGAGGTCATAGCAGTTTGCTGGGGACCCCAGGGATGTAGGATGCTGGGAAGAGACTCACAGACAGAGGCGCTTTGTTTGGCTGTGGTATTCGTGTGGTGTTAGCAGTACTAGCTGCTGCAGTATACCTAAAAACCGATCTCATAGCTCAACCACACAGGAAGGTTCTCCTACCATATAACATCCAAGATGTGTAGGACTGTTTCTAGCAACAGTCCCAAGACCGGGGCTTTCTGTCCTGTGATTCTGCCATCTTCACTCTGTAGCCTATGGAATCACTCTAGGTGTTACCATCTTCTGGCAAGTGGGGAGAATGTGGAGTATTGGGGCTATGGGTTTGGCTGGACCTGGAAGTGGTGCTCATGTACGCTGCTCACATTAATCTGCTGAAATTTGCCCTGTGTCCACAATCGAGCCAAGAGAAGAGTTCAAATACAGCCTTGGCTTTGGGTGTAGCCCAGGGGTTGAGTGTGTGCCATGCAAGCTCCAGGCTCTGAGATCAGTTCCCAGCAGCAGCAGCAACAACACACACAGAGGACAGCCGGAGCTGGGGGTACATGCAGTATTCTCAACAGCCGAAGAGGGAAGCAGGCTTTGATGCCTGAGCGACAAAATCCGAGATTCTCTGACTCTGGTGACAGAGCCAAGACAAGACTGGGGGGAGAGGGCTGGCTTCTCTATTTTATTTGTTTATTTTCTTTATATTATACTTAGTTAATTCCTTGGTTGACCAATGCAAGTCTTATGAATTTATGGGATACACACATTTTGATAAATATATACATTTTAGAAAGGCTAAATCAGGCTAGTTAATATGCCTTCCCTCACATAATTATATTTTTTCAGTGGTGAGACATTTATTTATTTATTGGGTTTTTTTGTTTTGTTTTGTTTTGTTTTGTTTTGTTTTGTTTTGTTTTGTTTTCTGAGGCAGGGTTTCTCTGTAGCGATGGAGCCTGTCCTGGAACTCTTTCCGTTGACCAGGCTGACCTTGAACTCACAGAGATCCACCTGCCTCTGCCTCCCGAGAGCTGGCATTAAAGGTGTGTGCCACTACTGCCCGGCTGAGACATTTTTAAATTTTTCATATTTAAAGGCAATGTCATCATTCCTTATGTTTATATTGTGTCTTCCCAAGGGAGGTCTTCTACTCAAGATGTATTCAAGGACTTGTGTTTTACTTTGATTTGTGCTGGTGTGGATTGAACATGATGTCTGGCACATACTAAAAAGTGCTCTATCATGAAGCGTCAGCCTCAGCCCTCAAGATACATCATTACATTGAAATAGCGAGGTAGAAAATGAAGCCGACTTCATGTATGAACAGTGAAGTGCTCTCTGGACTTGTTTGCGTATACGAAACACGGGGAAGATACGTAGGAAACCATGGAGACTGGGGTGAGGGCAGAAAGAGGATGGCAGCATCGCTGGGAACGAAGGCTCGTGTATTCGTTTAAATATTTTCTTCTTATCTATTTATAAAACTGCATAATTAAAAATATCTTATTCTGTTGCAGAAGAGTGTTCCAGTGACTGACCTCTTTTTGTTTTCAAATGAAGAGGAGCCAAGAATAGGACTGCTTGGGAAGGTGCGCTGCATAGAACTCTCGAGGCTGAGGTAAAAACCATGTGGAATGTGGAGACTTTCTTGTTACAAGTCTGTCCTTGCCTAATTAGAGCTTTCAACGAAAAGCGAAAGAGCATTAGAGCAGCGACCTGGCTTTTTGCGGGATCATCTAAAAGTTCCTGGGTGCTTTTCTGTGGAAAACCGTTGTTGATCTTCATAACATTCCTGTCTTAGCTTTCCTCCACTGTAACAAAATACCTAAGACAATTAACCTAGAAAGAGAGAAGGTTGATTTTGGCTCGTCATTGTAGAGGTTCCAGCTGGCCCCCTGTCTGAGGTGAGACAGACTCCGTGGTAGGAGAGAGTGACGGGGCAAAATGTTCACCATATGTCCTGGAAGCAAACAGAAAGAGGAGTGAAGGCCCCACAGCCCCTTCTGAAGGCATGGCCTCAGGGATGCAAGGACCTTCCACAAGACCCTGCTTGGCAAGGATTTTACCACCTTGCTCTAGCACTGCCTTGGGACCAGTCTTAACGTTTAGACTCTTGGAAGTCAGTCAGTGTGTGAACTATAGCAATCCCTATAGTAGGTGTTAAAACTAAAATTAATTTCTTGTTTGGTAAGATATTTTTAAGACCAGGGTATGAGCTTGTCTACAAATTCACGCTAGGCTTATTAGCCAGTCTTTTTGATTTCAGGGTCGTCTCATCATTAGAAAAATGGGATAAAAATGCTTGGTGCTTCATAGCATCCCCCCCCCCCCCAAGATTTTCTCAGTAAGTCTTTCCATCAGCCATACACATTAATCGGGACTGGTATTATCTCAGCTTTAGAGACGAAACACAATGGCGGCCACTATAAACAAAGTAACAAGATCCATGAAAACTGGAGAAAGTAGGGTTTTTGATCAAGAAAACACTGTTATCCATCAGTAGCTGAAAGGCAGAAAGACAGATATTTCAGCAGAAAATTGACCAAGGGTGTGTGTGTATGTATGTATGTGTGATCATACAAAAATACCATAGTGATAATCCAATAAACTTTTAGAAATAATTTTTTTCTGTCAAAATGGAGATAAAGGATAAACCATCCTTAGTTAATTGACAAAGGTCTAAGGGCCATTTGAATGGATCATCGATGTGTTTCTGGGAGAGATGTTTGTCAGCGTAATCTCAAGGTAAATAAGAAACATATTAAGGTTTTAAGCATAACCTGTAACCTCTGCTAATTATTCTGACAGAGTCTGGAGGACCCTGGGGCTTGCTGTCTAGCCTTTTTTTTTTTTAAGATAGGGTTTCTCTGTAGCTTTAAAGCCTGTCCTGGAACTAGCTCTTGTAGACCAGGTTGGCCTCGAACTCACAGAGATCCGCCTGCCTCTGCCTCCCGAGTGCTGGGATTAAAGGTGTGTGTCATCAACTCCTGACATAGCCATCTTAACCTAATTGGCAAACCCCAGGTCCCAGTGAGGGACTGTATCTCAAAATATCATAGTGGCCAACTCCTGAGGAACTGCACCCTGGCTGACCTCTGACCTCTACATGCCCGTGCACACACATGCATACAGAATCATGTCAAAGAACTATGCAAAGAAAAAAAAAGTTAGAGAGATGGCTCTGCTGTTAAGAGCACTGGCTGCTCTTTCAGAGGTCCTGAGTTCAATTCCCAGCAACCACATGGTGGCTCACAACCATCTATAGTGGGATCTGATGCCCTCTTCTGTGCATGCAGATAGATAACAAAAAGTTAGTAAACTGCGCAGGGATGTGTATGTGCTTTATAAAATGGTGAGTTCTGAACGACTGTTAATATGTCAGCTGTCAAGAGCGATTTAAGTTCCGGAAGCCATGTTGGTTCCTTCAAAGTTGTATGTCTAGGACGCAGAACGGTGAGGCTGTGGCTCTAAGTGGTCTTGACCCGATGGAGCCAATGTTTCCGAAGGGTCTTTAAACACATCTGCCTTCCAAAAGCTTGCGTGGGACTTCAGCCCTCACCTGAATTGGTGCTTAGATTTTAGGTATCCGGTGTTGTGACTCATTTCCCATGCCAGCGTGTTTCCACTCCTTAGATGACATTTCCTCGTGTTTGCAGACCGCTGGTCATTGCATAGCCCACCAGCATCTCCCACGTCTCTTCAGTCTCTCTGTCTTTCTGGATGAGCCCACCACTCCCAGCGCCCCATAGTAGAGCCCTGGGTTCACCGGTGCAGATGGATGGCCCGTTTCTCCTTACCCACATGCAGCTTCGAGGACTCTTCTCGCTACACCGGGTGCTTCGATCTCTTTATTTTCACCAGAATAAGCCTCTTCTTATCAGCACATCCAATACTCTCCCGCACTTTCATAATTATCAGACAGATGGGGTTCGAATGTTACAAAACACCCAGCACTAAATACAGGCAACACGACGGCGACAAAGTGTCGTTAGCCAGGGCTGAAATCAACAACAGCCAACGTTGCTGCTGTCTGCTGGAGGCCGGGGAAGCGAAAAGACTATGACTTTTTTTTTTTTTTTTCATTTTTGTGAAAGGTGACAGGTTGCCAAGCTGCCAAGAACTCCTTCTGCCTTTGCTCAGAATGCTCTGCCGAAGTACATTTGAGACATCAACCATCAAATTACATATAAATATGTAATCAACTGGAGTTATTTTTAGATAGCTCAGTGGGTTTACATTGACTGAGCGGGCTGAGGCTGCGGGTTTGAACCCACGTGGCTTATTTAACGCATGAAGAAAATTCGTCACCTAGGTAGCCTGTCCCTGCAATCGACCATGTCATAAATGTGGGATCTAGCTGTACTGTGTAGGGGGCAGTCATTTCATTTCCGGTACAACCCTCCGAGGGCAGTGCAAGTACCAACCTTTGTAACAGTGACCTTGGGCTCTTTCATCTCAGAACCTCAATTAGCCATTCACAAAAGAGAAGATGCCTTAGTCATATGTTTAGAACAATTTGTAATGTATTTATAAGCACAGGTTGGATCACAGTGTTCTCAAATATAAAATGCTTTTAAAAAAAAAATCAAAAGAGGCCATTTCATCCCCCTCATGGAGAGTATTAGAAAACTAGAGGGTGGTACCTGATTCAGCTCACTGCCTGGGGACCTGAGGACAATTATTCCTATGGAGTTTCTGCCCTGAGATTTGCCCAAGCTCAGGTCAGCTTAGCTGGAGGATGCTCCACTGCCCTCCAAGCCCAGAAGGATTCACAGCCCAGCTTCTGGGCAAGAGAAAAGGGAAAACAACCCTCATGTCCCTCTGTTTGAGGATTTGTTCCCCCATCTAGAGCTTCAAGTAATCCTGTAAAACAAACAAACAAAACAACGACAACCCACCCTGTCCCTGGCCTCCTAGCTCTGGTTTGCAGGGCTCCTTTGAGGTCTGCCCCCCACTGCTTCCCTCTGGAAAGCTTCTGAGTCAGCCTGTGAGTCACCTCACTCATTAGCCGAACTCAGAACGCCTCTCCATCCCCGGATCTCTTTTGTTTCCTTGTATCTAGCAGCTTTCTTGGCAGCTCCAAAGCCAGAGACAACCTTGAAGCTGGAGGGTGGGTTGCTCCCAAGGTGGTCTGCTCAGTGAGGAGACTGGCAGACACCGAGTAGAATTTAGATGGAGATGGAGATGGTGGTGTGTGCACTGTGGCCTTGAAGGGATTTCAGGGACCAGGTTTAGCCTCCGTGCCTCTGTCCGTTTAGAGGACAGCACAAAGGTCCCTGAATATTGGTGCACCCCCGTTCTTTCTGTTTTAGACAGGGTGTCATTGTGTAGCCCTTGCTGCTTTGCAACTTGCTTTATAGACCAGACTGGTCTCAAACTCACAGAGATTTGCCTGTCTCTGCCTCCCAAGTACTGAGTCATAGGGACAGCACAACCACACTTGGCTACCTTTCTGTTCTCTTTCTAGTCTTTTCTTCCTCTCCTCCCGCCTTCCCTTCTATACACACTCTCTTGCATGATATCAGGAGAAAGTTTAGGGACTGTTTTGGGGGCAGACAGGAAAAGAACAATCAGTGTCCTTAGGTCATGAGACTCTTTTATCCCGTCCTTTCGGGTCTGTCTTTCCATCTCAATTCTCTTGATTTTACATCCCCTGTGCTTTCCCTCTTGTAGGAGGTGGACAGGCAAGGCAGGATGAGAGATGGAGTTATCTCTGTTGATGCCTCCTGGGTCTATCAAGACGCCCAGTGAAAGGATGCTAATAAGAACTCTAAATTCACTTGTAGGAAAAGCAGCACTGTGGCCCCATTATTAATTCATTAATCATAAAGCCTTTCGTGAAGTGGGGACCATTCGACTTGGCTGAGTGTGACAGTTTTCACTAAACTCAACAATTTAGTTCTGAAGGGCTCCCGAGAGACCACCCACACTTTCCATCCTACCGGCGGCGACAAAGCACCTGCGCACCTGCGAGGAGGACGGAGCCTCTGTGTCTGCCCTGTGCCTGCATCACCTCGGAGGCTGGCTGAGATGCAGCTTCCAGTTCAGAAGCCCCAGTGGAAGGCTGTCTTCTGCACATCTGTAAGTTCTCTGGAGGTCCCACTAGCTCAGGGACCACATGTGGAGCGGCAAGGCTCCAGGGTCTCTGGAGAAGAGGGGTAAAAGACTTCCTCTGTCTCCAGGAAACAACCTGCAGCTTAGGGACACCACTCTCTGCATCCCTCTGCCTCAGCTGGTGACATTTGCCTGCAAAACCCAGACAGTACTGGACTGTTCCTCCAGACACCGCTGTCTCTTTCCTAACCTCACTCCAGTGAAGGGTGTTCCTTAACATTGCAAGATTTAGGTTTGGTGTTAGTACAGGAAAAGGGCCTCATGGGTTTTCAGCCCTGACTGTGAGGTCTCATCCAGCTCAAATTACCAGGAGGCTTAGAACTCACATTTAGGGAGAACCTGAAACCCATAACCTGTTTCTTTGATTGTTACAGGGATTTTTTTTTTTTTTTGCTGGGGCTTTTGGCTTTTAATTATTGACTTAGGATAGCTCTTTCTTATAATAATAAAAGGAATGCAGTCTCTCTCTCTCTCTCTCTCTATATATATATATATATATATATACACACACACATATATATATATACATATACATGTGTGTACATATAATTAAATTTGGAGTTTGTATTCATTTTCTTGTTAATTTAGTCAGGCATGGTGCCACACATCCATAGCTGCAGCATTCATGAAGCTGAGGCAGGAGAATGATGTGCAGTGTGAGGCTAGCCTGGGCTATACAATGATTCCTAGGCCTGCCTGGACTACAGAGTGAGCCCCTGTCTCAAAAGCAGTTTCTTCTTCTTCTCGCCAATCTGAGCAAGACTCTACTGCAGTAGCGTTCCATCTCTGTAAACAGAAGTATTAAAGAGGACTACGTGTCTCGGGGAACTGCTGAGCACGAAGAGAAGGTACACGCGGGACACGAGCAAGTACAAACACACGCCATGCTTAGTTCACTGTCAGAGCTGAAATGAATCCAGTGGCTTTCTCGAGCCTCAGCGTGTGGGGCTTCGGTGACGGATGTTGACAAATTCCAGCTTCGTTTTGTTCTGTGTTTAGTTTGGTTTGGGTTAAACAAACATTTGTTAGGCCCTTGCAAGGACTGTCTGTAGCGTCCTCGGTTCTGGTTGTTCTGAGAACCAGAAGGGGAAGTTAGAGGCTGTCCATTAAGAGCGTTCTCTATGTATCCGAGCCCGTGATTTGCGCCAGCCTTTGGCCCCCTCCCCTACCACTCAGTAAGCCATCAACAGATGTTTTCTTCTCCCGTTCTCCCGCCCCTAACCATCTAAGTATGGCATCTCCGTAGCATCAAGGTGAGATGGCTGGGTGTCTCCTTGTCCTCTTCGCTTGCTTTCATCTCTATCGGGAAGCTAGGCTTGTTAGAGTTCACACATACGAAACTCCCTTTTCAGTATTGGAGATTGAACCTGGGGCCTCGTGCCTGTTAGGTAAACTCTCTACCACTGACCGCATCTCCAGCCCTCTTTGTCACTTTTTTATTTTGTGTGTGTGTGTATGTCTATGTATGAGCATGTAGGTGTGGGTACGTGTGCGTACATGAGAAGGGCAGAGGTAACGGCACGTATCTTCTTCTCTTGCTCCCCACGTAATTCTTTCGCTGAATCTGGAGCTCACCAATTTGGCTAGACTGTCTGGCCAGCAAAACCCAGGGATCCCCCTGTCTCAGCAACCCCAGTGTTGGAGTTAAAGGCACACATCTCTGAACCTGCTTTTTCTGTTGGTTTTAGGGAACTTACCTCAGATTCTCCTGTTAAGGAGGCATCACTAGCCATGGAGACATAGTCACCCTTTTTGCTTTTTATTTTAAACAGCCTCATTAAGTTTCCAAAGTTGCTTTCAGCCCACTTTCAAGCCAAGGCTGATTTTGAACTTGCTTCAGCCTCCCAAGTAGCTGCGATTCCAGGCTTGTTGTCAGGCCTGGCGCTGTTTTATAGTATAAGTTATGTGCATAGTTGTATTATCATTTAGATTGACCAGTTTTTGCTTCAGCTTCCCTAGGAATTTTGTACCACTCCCCCATCTATGGTGTTTAATGCATTTACGTTATCCCCACTATAGTCAGGGGTGGGACTGGGGGCTGGAGAATATATAATCGGCTTTAATAGTAAAATGAAAATATGTGAAGATAAATTTTTTTTGCCTCTGATGGATTCGGAGGTTTTGATAGAGTCAAAGACAGAAACGTCTAATGGCAAAATTGATCAACTATCCAGGAAGAGAATGCACCCCCGCCTTACTGTACCCCTGTTTTTCTTTCTGCACACAAATCTGCCTTATAGTCCTGCCAGTGAGTGAATGTAAAACGAACGAGTCAATATTATCGAATCCCGTGCATTTGCCAAACACCGTGCTAAGTGCCTTCACATACATTTTCTCATTTAATGGCTCCTTTGCTTACTTACTGCAATGGAAAAAGTGGAACTGGGCCTTTGGTTGCTCCTCCCCCTCTCTGTCTGCACTAGCCTTCCGCTCACACTGAAACAAAATCCATTCTTTCTGCCTCTCATCCAGGTCTACGGCCAAAAGTTGGTTTCTCATTTCTAGAAGATGAAAGATGTGTTGATTTAGGAGAAAGATGGGGGCTGAAGGCAACCTGCTGCCTCACGCCACATCGTGTGGTGGGCACCTGCCTCTGGCTTCTTTCCTAGACCAGGCGTCATACTCTGGGGGACCAGAGTCCCCATCCATTCACCCCTCCCTTTGATTGATATGACATATGTTACTTACCACTGTCACTAACCCCAAGCCTCCCCTAATGAAACAAAATAAGACAAGACAAAACAACCCTGTCTCCTGGAGACAATGGGCAGGTCTTGAAATGTCTGGCTGTTTTCTCCTCTCACTGTGACTCTGATCTTGAATTCCCCTAGGAAAGCATTGCCCAGGTGAAGTTGCACCACCAGCAAGAAAGGAATCTTCCTGGACTCCAAGAGAAAGCCTGCCTCCTTATCTCAACTCTTAGGAATGGCTCTCCTGCTGCTGACAGAGCCATATGGGCCCAGCCCTAAGGTTGGTGCAGGCCTCCCAGGTGTTTTACAAAAAAGGAGGCAACCAGTGGCAGCCAGAGCCGAGCAGAGGCAGTGACCCCATTTACAGATGCATCCCAATATCCAGTGGCCAGCAGCCTGTGCTGCAATGCCGTGGTGTGTGACTGAGTTACAGCTGGCCTAGGCTGGTGGGGTAGAGGTACTGAGCCGTCAACAAGACATGTTTACCATCAGCGTGGGGTGACATTGTTATTCCAGAGGCTTCTGCTCTTCTTCCCTTTGTGCAGCAGGCATCTGAGTAACCGTGGTGGGCACTGAGCTGGAGCTGGGCACACAGCTTGCCCTCCACCGCAGAAAGATGAGTAGAAGAATGTGGGAAAGATACTTAGAATTTAAAGAAACTCACAACTGTAGGATTGAGAGCATAGCCCTCCAGAATGTGTAAGAAGTCGTACAAAAGGGTGGTATGACGGTTACCTTGAACAACCTGACACAATGCACAGCCAGCTGGGAATGGAGTCTTTTTTTTTTTAAATTTTTATTATGTATATAGTGTTCTGGATACTAGATCTCATTACAGATGGTTGTGAGCCATCATGTGGTTGCTGGGAATTGAACTCAGGACCTCTGGAACAGCAGTCAGTTCTCTTAACCTTTGAGCCATCTCTCCAGCCCTGTTGGGAATGGAGTCTTGATAAGGGATTTCCCAGATCAGTGCGGTGGTTTGAATGGGGATATCCCCCCCATAGGCTCACATGTTTGGACGCTTGCTCCCCACTTGGTGGTGCTGTTTGGGAGGTTTAGGAGCTGTGGATTCTATGTCTTGAAGGTAGGCTTTGAGAGCATAATTTACTCTTGTCATTTCCAGGTCCTTCTCTCTGCTTGCCGCTTGCCGATTGAGATGGGAGCTGTTCCTGCCGCCATGTCTGCCACCTGTTGCCAAGATTCCCTGCCACGATGGTCTCTTATCCCTCTGGAGCCATAAGCCAGTAAAATCTTCTATAAGCCGCCTTGATCATGGTGGGTTTTTTAACTTTCTAAAAAATAATTTATCTCCATTTTATGTGCATTGTTGTTTTGCCTGCCTGTATGTCTGTGAGGGTGTCAGATCCCTTGGATTTGAAGTTACAGACAGTTGTGAGATGCCATGTGCATCTGGAATTGAATCCAGGTCATCTGGAAGAGCAGTCAGTGCTCTTAACCACTGAACCATCCCTCTAGCCTCAATCATGGTCTTTTTATCATGGCAACAGAAAAGTAACTAACACAATCAGGTTGGCCAATTGGGGAGAAGGATAGAGGATGTGTCTGGGAGGTGAGTCAGGTTAATCAATAACAGTGTGATTTTGCTTGTCTGGTATAGGGTCTGAAGTCTATCTGAGGGAACTGGGAGCCACTAACTGTCCTAGGATGAGGGAAGGACATTAAAATATGTTTGTTTCTTAGCCCAGGATAGGGGTGGGGGTGGTACACAGGAGGAAAAAAACTATGGTAATAATCATATTCTGACATTTCAGTTCCAATATCTTATTTTTAACTGATTTTAATTGGCATGTAATAATTGCTTATATCTACAGGGTAGAGAGCGATGATTCAATCCATATATGCAATGTGCATTGATCAGATCAGCAGGATTGGCCTTTCCATCTTATTGGACATCTGTCACGTCCTGTGTTCAGACCCTGCGAACGCTGTCTTCTAGCTCTTGATAGTGGAGTAATATTCTGTAGACGACAGTCACCCCATTGTGCTATCATCCCTTTCATTTGTGCATTATTGAGTCTTCCTCTGTCCCACATCTCCTACTCTGCGAAGTCTCTTTTTATGACATGTTATTGGGTTATGTTTTTAGAACGCAATTGTAAGATGAAGACTAAATGTACGGTAGTTCTAGGGCCACTGTGGAGAATTTTGTAGCCCAGAGACAAATGATGCAGACCCAAGCTACACCAGAGCAATAGGAATGCAGACAGGAGGGTCCCAGGGGTATAGAGCTGTTGTTCCAGGTGGGGCGGCAGGCATTCTAATGGCTCTAGGCTTTGGTGGGTGGAGGCAACAGTAAGAAAAGAAGACCTGTTGGGAGGCTCGTGGGGCAGAAACCCTTTCAGTGCCTCGAGGACCACGTCGATGTCAGTGGAGCTGGGGACTTTCCCCATGCAATGCAAAGGAGGCTACATGAGAGGCCAGACCCTGGAGGCTAGAAAGGATGGGGCTCCTAACACCTGCCTGGTTGCTAAAATTGAGTCTTTGTGGAACCCAGGCTGCAAATGAGAGGTCTTCGGTACCTGCAGCCAAGCAGGGCCTGATGAGCTGTTTCCATGGAGACACAGTGCTGTGTGCAGGCGTAGGCGGGTTGATCCATTCCAGAGCCTTGGGTCACAAGGCTGTAGCGGGCTAACAGGAAAAAGGCTTGATCGATCAGGAAAGGATGTTCAAAACTATTGGCAGCTAATTGAGGCTGTGTTGTCATAATTCTAGATTAAGGCTAACAAATCGGGATCCTGCTAGCTGCCACTTAGAGAAAGCACAAGGAAGCAGACACCGATTCAGTTCAGGCTAACCCCAAATGCGCAGACACCCATCCCAGGCCCATTCTGTATCCTTGAGTTCTTAAGTAGCTACATCTCTCTTGCAACCCTCTGAGACACAGGCAGCGACCAGGAGACTTAATCTCCTTTTCATTTGTCATATGAATGGCAAAAAATATGCAGGAAGCCTAAGCCTGGCTCTTGAAAAAAAACCCTCAGATTCTGGCAAAGCTCCAAGCTGGATGTTGGGAAGCATTTTGAGAACGACTGTGCACAGAGAGCCAGCCGCTCACAGCGCTCAGAAGATGGAGGCCAGGTGATTAGTGATTCAAAGCCTGCTGCAGCAGCGTGAAACCCTATCTCAAAACAAAAACTAGCAAAAAGAAAGCCAGCGGCAATGAAGCCCCGAGTATGTAGCATGTATGCATGTATGTCGTAAAATGGCCATAGCATGCGGTTTACCATTGGACATTTTGAAGTGTACAATTCAATGACATAAAGTACATGCATGATCTTGGACTGGAGATGTAGGTTATTGGTACAGCATGTGCTTAGAATACACTAGCCGTGGGTTCCAAATAGCACTTTTTTTTTGAAGTATGCTTACAATCTTCTGCATCCATTATCACTATCCACTTCCAAATTTACACTTTGCTCTAGTTAATTTTATATTGCTGTATGTAACAAAATACCAGAGGCAGGATACTCTGTAAAGAAGAAAGGTTTATTTATCAGGAGACTCGGGATTCAAGAGCATGATGCTGGCATCTGAGTGGTCTGTTGAGGACCTCGTGGTAGATGGTTCCACAAGGGTGGGTATGTGTGTGGAGGAGGTCACATGGCAAGATGGGATTCATTAGACCAGCATCAACCTGCTTGTATGGACAGAGTCTACACATCCTGATCGGTTTACACCAGGCCCTACTACCTCGTCACCACCACACTGGGGACCTAGGCTCCAGTCTGAGTGACCTTCTGGAGGACAAACTTTATAGCATGCCTTAAAGATGTTAAACACTGCGGTCGTGCTGTGGCGTTTCTGCTGGCGGAGTGATAGTTAGGGCGATGGCTAATCTCAGTTGTCAGCTTGGCGGAATTTAAAATCACCAAGGCGTATCTGTGAGATATTATCTCGACCAACTTTACTGAGAGGGGCAGACCCACCGTAAAGGTGGGTGATGGCATTTCACCCGCTGGGATCATTGGAGACTGAGCAAAAAAAGAGTAAGCAAACTGAACCCAAGCACCCGTCTCCCTCAGTGTTTGATACGGTGTGTCCAGCCACCTCAAGTACCTACTGCCACGCCTCGCCATCATCCTGGACTGTATCCTTTGGAACTGTAAGCAAAAATAAGCTCTTCCTTCCTCCCTCCCTCCCTTCCCCTTCCTTCCTTCCTTTCCTCCCTTCCCCTCCTTCCTTCCTTTCCTCCCTCCCTCCCCCTCCCTCCTTCCTTCTTTCCTTCCTTCCTTTCCTCCCTCCCACCCTCCCTCCCTCTCTATCTCCCTCCCTCCTCCCTCCCTCCCGTTGCTTTTGTCAGGTACTTGGCCAGGGTAATGAAGTGACTGATGTGTTAACCAGAGGAAAAACTGGGTAAAGCCTGTTTTGGTCAGTTGCTGTCATTGTAGACATGGGGGATGGTGGCATAAAGGTCCTCATGGTGTGGGTGAACTTGTTAAACCTGCTCTCTGGAAGGGGATTGATTTTAACTTCTTGATCTGATAGGACTCTTCTTGATCTGCAATTATTCGAATGGTCGAGCAGTACTAAGAATTTATGTCAGGGCCGGGGCCTTTACATCTTGTTAGAGGAAAACCTTGTTCCCAAATTAGTGGGACATAGTGTGGGAGGAAGTATTTAGGAACCAGCTTCAATTTAAGTGAGAAAAAAAGTTAGTGCTTGAGAGAGATGAGACATTATTTTTATAATATTTTTAATTTATTCTTTGAGAGTTTCATACAGGTATATTATGCATTTTGAGTGTATCTATCCCATACCCCCTCCAGATCCCCTCAACAAGTCCCTCTTTTCTTTCTTTCTTTTTCTTTTCTTTTTTTTTTAATACAGGTTTCTCTATGTAACAGCTCTGGTTGTGTCCTGGAGCTTGCTCTGTAGACCAGGCTGGCCTCGAACTCACAGAGATCCACCTGCCTCTGCCTCCCAAGTGCTTGGTTTAAAGGTGTGCAGCTCTTATTTTCAATTGAGTTCAATTACTGTTGGCCTATACATATTTTTTTTATTGATTTTCGAGACAGGGTTTCTCCGTGGCTTTTGGTTTTTGTCCTGGAACTAGCTCTTCTAGACCAGGCTGGCCTTGAACTCACAGAGATCCGCCTGTCTCTGCCGTGCTGGGATTAAAGGCATGCGCCACCACTGCCCGGCTTATACATATATTTTTGAGGTAAAAAATATCATACTGAACATCTCATCCTAGGGAAAAAATTGACAGTAGCATTAAGTAATTCATATTTACCAGTTCAATTTGGCTACTTTTCAATGTGTATATATTACAAAAATTATACTCTACATAATAAATATTTGTAATTATTCATTTAAACACTAAATGTATTTTATCTTAATTTTTGATATCATAAATGAGAGTTGAGTCTGCATTGTTTCCACCCCTCCCTCTCTCACCTCCAATGCCTTCCATGCCCCCTTTCCAAATTCCTGACCTATTCTTCTTTATCACTGTTACACAGATATATGCACACACATATATATGTAGCTATGTATGTATATGTATATATATATATGCACAATACACAGACACAAATATATGAAGCTTACTGAACCCATTTGGTGTAATATTCTTTCATAATTAGAACTTCACAACTTTGTGACTTGGCTTATGTCTCCAACCGCAGGTCAATGTGTTTAGAATATTGTCTTATTTACTCTTCCTGTTGCTGTGATAAAGGACCCTGACAAGAGCCACTTAAGGGAAAGGAAACTTATTTTGGCTCAGTGTTCAAGGGTCCAGTCCATCGTGGCGGGGAGTCAGAGCAGCAGGAGCGCAGCGCAGCTGGTCATAGCGTATTAACAATTAGAAGCAGACGTTGGGGGAATGCATGTCCTCAGCTCTATTTCCTCCTTCCATTCACGCCAGGACTCAGCCCAGGGCACAGTACCATCCACAGTGGTCAGGTCTCCCCAGCGGCATGCCCAGAGATCGTGTTCCAGGGGATTCTGAACCCCAACAAGCTGACAGTTGTACTAACAGTCGCCGTCATCTGGGCTCATTTTCTAGGTCTAAGCTCAGTGGGCCCCAAAGCTCAAAGCAGCCACCGCAAGGATACATGCTCAGAACAAAGGAGGAGGAGGGAGAAGGAGCACGATTGATCGGATGAAACTTTTTTCTACTGTAAATCCAATCTAACTCTCATACCATGTTTTGGGAAATTTAGCAAGAAATGCTTTAGTAAACCATTCCTGGGAACTCGACTCAGAGGAGCCAGGCTGCTTTGGGTGTCATCACTCCAAACGCCAGGGAGAAATCTGGGGATTTGTAGGTCTTCTGCTTTGTTTTGGCCACTGTATTCTGTGCAGTTCTCAGAGCATGGCCATAGCGTTTTCATTCGGTCCGGGATGATCAAGCAGTTCTTTATCTCCACATTCACCTCCATTTATCAGAGCCCGAACCCCGGAGGGAAGCTCAGAAAAACATTATTAGCAGTCAAGACAGTGTTTGTAGTCATTAAGATCCTATTAGAAGGCGATTTCCAGAATGGCGCTGGGAAGAGCCCTACGGTCCCCTGTCAACAAAACATTCATATTGTAAAAACAATCATTCAAAGTCTCCAGAAAGCTTCCTAAGGGTATACAGCAAGTACTCGTTTATTTAAGAAAATCTACTAATCTCAATAAGAGAGAGAACTTATGGCATCTAAACCATGCTCCCTCCTACTCCATCTAACCTAGATTGTTGTGACAGAAGCTCCAGCCTGCCCAGGAAGGCAGGGCTCTTGTCAGTCAAGGCCAACAGTGTCTCCTTGCCACATCTATGTTGTAGGTGCTAAATTCCATCCCATCCCCCCAAAAGTGCAGCCCAAAGGTGGAGGACTTTATTCCTGTCCAGGCCTCCACTTAGATATGGCAGACACATAAAAGTGGGGACCAATTGCATCCACGCTATTTGGTGTGTGACGCAGTCTCCACAAAGGAAAATGAAAAGCAAAACAAGAGGTCACTGCCCCCACTCAGTGCTCTTTCTGTAAAGCAGGGCCATCAGGCCAAGCCAAGTGCCTGTATTCAATAGGAGAGTCCTAGAGACTCTGTGGGAGGAAAGAGGCCAGCTGTAAGAACACAGAGTACTGATGAGGGGAGGCTGTGTTTGGAAGAGGGCATGGCAAAGTTCCCACTGAAGTCAGTTAAGAACAGTTGAGACTTGGGTACTAAGCAATGAAAAGGAAGCTGTTGGCTCCGCGAGAGAACTAGATAAGCTTTAGGTTGGTTGGTTTGCTAGAGAATATTAGGGAAAGAAAGAGCCAAGGAGAGCCTTCTGGGCTTAGGACAAATCTTGAAGACTGACCTCAAAAGCCACCGTGAAGAGGCTGCTGTGTAATTGGATCAGTGTGGAGAAATCGATGACCCGGAGCACTGGGGGGAAACAGTGCAATAGATGGCAAGAAGTAGAGCCTACAACCTAGGGATCGTATCACTAGAGGCTGAAAACTTGAAGGAGAGGGAGGGAGGGACAGACAGACAGTCAGGTTTCCTGAAAGCACCGCCATCCTGGAGTAACTGTGCGTGTTCTAAAAGTGACGCTGGCTGCTCCACATCACACGCCCATGTGAGCAATGTCAAATGAGAAAAGGACTTCTCACCAAAAGAATTCAGGCAGTCCACCAAGTAGATGGGTGGTAATCAGCTTTACAACAAGAGAATCAGCAATCAGCATTGTTATAAAATACTATTAAAAACATCCTGTTTGCAGCAAGAAAAACAATGTGTAGCATATGTCTCCTATACAAGGAGGTAAACAGGCTTCAGTGGGAACTGCAGTAGGAGATGGCCGGGAGGTTGGACTTAAAGGCTTCACGGCAGATATTGTATGTTCAGAGAACAAAGGAAATCGCTCTCACAGAGGAAAGGGGACATGTCTCACTAGATAGGGGTTGACAGTCTAAATGCAGAGACGGAAATGACTTTAAAAAAAAAAAAAACAGTGGGAATTCTAGAGTTGAAAAGTACAGGAATTGAAATAAAAACATTCACTCCAAGTGCTCAGTGGTAGATTCACCCTAGAAGAAGAATCGGCATTTTTTGTTTTGTTTTGTTTTTTGAAACTGGGTCTCACTATGTAGTTTTGGCTGAAACTCCCTCTGTAGACCAGGCTGGCCTTGAACTCAGAGACTTCTCTGCCTCCTGAGTGCTGGGATTAATGGCATGTGCCACAGTACCCAGCAATTCAGCGGATCTGAAGCTAGAGATTTTTTGTTGTCAAGATCAGAGGGAAAGGATGAAGAAATATGGAAAAGAGTCTCAGACGAATGTGGAATTACTTAGGAAACAGAATGCCCGGATGGAGTAGGCGATCTTGTTCTGGTGTCACGGAATCACAAGAATGTTTGAATGGGAGGGGAAAACAGGAATTAGAATTACTCTGTGTGGGTAGAGTTAGTGTCTGGAAACAGTGGGGATGGTTGCACAATTTTGTCAGTGTGCTTTATGCCACTGAACTGTATGATTAAAATGGGAAACTACATTATGTACAATTTACCAAATTTAATTAATTTTTTTTTTTTTTGGTTTTTCAAGACAGGGTTCCTCTGTAGCTTTGGAGTCTGTCCTAGAACTTGCTCTATAGACCAGGCTGGTCTTGAGCTCACAGAGATCCACCTACTTCTACCTCCTAAGTGCTGGGATTTTAAATTGTTTTACCACATTTTTTTTAAATTGTGGTAAATTGTAGTGAATATATCAAAATATGCATACTGGGGGAAAGGATTTAGTGAGATACTGGACAAAACCCCTGAAATTTTTATGAAATATATCCATCTAGTTATCTAAGAACAGCTTCTATGCCTAGATACACTAAAGTAAAAATACAGACAGAGGAGGAAGAGAATTGTGGCAGCAACTTGATCAAGCAATAGCAAAGGCAAAACAAACAGGTTAAGGATGTGTCGCAGTGACAGAGCATTTACTTAGCATGGGTGAGGCCCACACCACAAACAAACAACCACAAGAAAAACACAGGCAAAACATGTACAAAAGAACCCAAATAAGATAAACAGCTGACTTCTCCACATAAACAGTCGTTGCCAGGAGACAGTGGGAGATATTTTCACAATGCTGAAAGAGACAACAAGGGCACCAACTAAGAATCTTCTCTCTAGTAGAACGGCCGCTCAGAACTGAAGCAGAGGAGGAGGGCTTCGGGCAGAGCTGTGAGGTTGGAGGTGGAGGACAAGGTCAAGCAGCCTTAGCAGATGCCTTGGTGAGTAAGAGTGCCGCCCCTTTTTTGCCAGTCAGTGATCCACTGCAGTGTCCAGCCTCTTGACACGGTGACATGACATTGCCATTTGTAAATGTGTCGGGCTGCTTTCATAGCTGTCCAGGGACGCATGAGGACATGCTTGCGCTAGAGGAATCTGCACATTTCAAGATTTCAAGTAGTATTTTCAACCCAGAAAGAAATTGTGTAATTATTAAAGCGAGTTGTGCTTTCTATCAAAGTTACAGCTGTTTGTGTAAATGAAATGCTTTGCAGATTTTATCAGCGTGGGACAGAGAAAGCCATCAGTTACAATTCCCAGAGACATACTCTAACGGCGATATGTGTGGTGAGTTTTCCCTCTCCTTCCCTTCTGTTCTGAGATTACAGCTAGCCAGGGTACAGTACGGCTCTATCCATGAAAGAGCCTAAGGATGGATGTGAACTGCATGACCACCTGGAAGAGATGAGACCTAGTGACTTGCTTGTGGCATGTTGACTCTTAAAAGGAAAATGAATTGATCTGCAGGGTGCCTTGGATGAAACAGTCGTGATCCCTCTCTGTTAGTTCCCAGAAAGGCAACTGTCTGATCTTTCAATAGGATAGGCTTGCTCAACCCTTGAAGGAAGCTGGGGGTAGATAAGGAGCTAGTAGTTCCAGCTAAAGGCAGCGACTCTACTTACAGACTCAGGACACAGGCTAACGTTCCGTCTACTCTTTAACTTCCCTCTTTGACTTTTAAGCGAATGTAAATCTTGAGTAGACTTACATCAGGATGCTCACAAGAGAGGACTCTGTCCTTCACCCCTTTCCCCATGCACGGTTCTAGTGTAGCTGGAGACAGAATCACAACACGAACACACAATGTCTATCATGGAGATCAAATGATTGCAAAGCGTTTGCAATGTAGTCTTTATTTTCCTCTTTTCTGGAGGAAGATAAGCTTATTCGTTGTTTAAATAAGATTTATAGGTCATCTGAACATTTCAACATTCACCTCTGAAGAATAAGCACAGGTTTGTGGGGGACACACAATTCTGCTATCATGCCTCAGAAAAGCCACATAATTTTTAACATTATTAATCATTGATCTACATTTCGAATTTCCTTGCTTGTTTCATGAAATATTGCTTCAAAACTGTGGTAAACTGTACCTAATGTAACGTTTTCTAGCTCAACCATACAATTCAGTGGGACTAAACATGTTGACAACATTGTGCAGCCCTCACCACTGTTTCCAAACAATGACTCTCTCCGCCAAGAGTAATTCCTGTGTTTCCCTCCCCCTCCAAAAATCTTGTGATTCTGCTTAATTCAAACAAGAACTCGTACTTCATTCAGGCATCCTATTTATGAAGATTCTTTCTGTCTCGTGTTGCCTCCTCGCTCCATAGCCACATGCATTGCATTCTCATGATGTCAGCCTCTGTTGAGTCCCATCTGATTGTCGCATGGAATATCCTGTGTTCTCTATTATCCGATTGCTTCTTTATGCTGAGATTTAACATGTTCTTCTCTGCGTTTCTTGTAAACTGGAGGTTAGATAGATCCAAAGACGATATGAATCAGGTGTACACTTGGGTAAAGTCCTTGTGGATAAATCTGTGTGCTTGCCACATCATTTTAGGTCAGACGTAATGTCTGGTTGTCCCACCATTTGATGAGGCTAATAGGGAGTCAGGGGTCAAAGGGACAGTCTCCTATTAAATAAGTTTTGAAAGATGAGAATTGGTTATTAAACTTTTAGAAAGAATTACCCCTGTGTTAAAGACTCATGTCATGTTGCCTGGCACATAGTCTTTGTCTTGGAGAGCGTAGGTGGAGAAGCTGGATGTGGGGATATGCACCTGACCTCTCAGCATTAGAGATGTCGAAGTAGGAGGATTGGGAGTCCAAGGAAACAGCCCCAGCTATGAAAGAACCTGTCTGAAAACAAACAATCACAAAAGGCAGAGAAGGGGGAGATAAAAAGTTGGAGACTGAGACAGAAATATATATACATATATATATATGGAAATATCTATATGGAAGGAGAGAGGGAGAGACACGGAGACAGAGATACAGAGAGACTAGCCTCTTTATGGTGTGGATGCCGTCCTGAAGCTCTAGTTTATCCCAATGGGTAGCTTGCTAATCAGCACAGAATAGGAAATATGAGGTCTGAAAGAGACTATGTGTTCTTTGGGCCCCAGAAAGGTCTTCAAACCTGGTCATTAACCAGAATTTAGCCGTAGACATTTTTTTTCCTGACTTTTATCTAATGACAGAACACTTTGGAAACTCAGATATTAGAGAATTGTTTTTACAATGTTCTAAAATAAGTGGTGTGTGTGTGCACGCGCACGCGTGTGTCCATCTTGACAAATCACTTTATGTTCCAAAGTTTAAAAATTAAGGAATAACATTTATTTGGAAAGCAAGATCTTTAGTTGTTTGCTGTGTACCACCCATTTTAGAATGGGGGAGAGTCTATCCCTCTTGTTCTTATTTTTTGACTTTCGGCTGCTGCAAACTGAAGAGCCAACTCAGTGAAGACTCACAAAATTAAGTTAAAGAACTTCATTGTCATTTTTAAACTAAGAATTTGAACCTCTAAAAAAATAAGTTAACTTTAATCTCCAAATAAATACTTTGTTTTAGAGCAGTTAAATCCTTGTGTCAGCTAGTCTCTGCCCAAGGTTGCCCTGGATTTCTGGGTCCCCAGAGGGCTTTTTAGTTTCTGTTGTCTATCTGTTTTTATATTCATTTTTGTTTCAATTATGTTGTTTTTCATCTAGGAAGTTGTTGTGAATTCTCTGCACAGAGAAACAGAGTTCAACCTTAGGATGATGTTAGGCTTGTGTTTTTTATTTTGCAGCTAGAATTAAGTCATATACCGTCTTTCCGTTTCTAAACTCCGCCTGTTTTCTTTGCTTGCTCCTTTTCTTTTTCTTTCTCCTGCCCCTCTCCCTTTCCATTGGTAGGTAGCGTGGGCTGGCACGCTTCTCTGAGTCTCCCCATTCCCACTAGCAACTCTGTTTTGTAGACGGATCCTTCTGCTTCACATCAGCCTGTGGTTATGACACTCAGTGGAATCAAAGGAATGGAAGAATCCCAGGGGAGGACAGGCTGTGCCTGGGTCTAGGTGCTGAACTCCCTGCTGGCCAACTTCCATCCGTTTGGAACTGCCAGCTGCAGTTTCTAGGCCAGGTTCTCAGAACTCTCAGAGTTCTATGAGGATTATATCAGAAGCAGTTTAACTATATCCAGTACTTTAAAATGCCTGGGAAATTTTATGTATTACCCACACCAAACCTGAAGAGACGGATTAGAATAATGAAGTGTCATCCTTTGGTGGGGAGGTGTAGGGACAAGTCTGGAAGTTGTGGGGAGAATACATAGGGTAAAAAAAAAAAAAAAAAAAAAACCATAGTCCATGTGGAGAAACCTTGTTGTGTCATCTGATGGAGAGAGATTGGTACCACAGGCCTACACCAGCACCAGGAAGGCTGAATTGGGAAGATCTTGAGTTCAAGGCCATATTGAAGCTTTTTAGTGAGACCCTGTTCTGAAAAAAAAAAAAAAAAACAAATAGGGTAGAGGTTGTAGCTCAGTTAGTAGAGCACTTGCCCTGAGAAGCCCTGGGTTCTGTTGCCAACATTGCATACTTGGCATAGTGGCACATACTGGTAATCCCAACACTTGAAAGCTGGCAGCAGGAGGATTAGAAGCTCAAGTTCATCCTTAGCTACACAGCAAGTTCAAGGCTACCCCGAGTGGCATGACACTGCCTCAAAAAAAGAAAGAAAGAAAGAAAGAAAGAAAGAAAGGAAGGAAGGAAGGAAGGAAGGAAGGAAGGAAGGAAGGAAGGAAGAAAGAAAGAAAATCACCACTGTTGTCAGAGGCCACTCATTTTTTCCCAGTCACCCAGACCCAAAATAATCACACAGAAACAATATTATTTTGTAATACTGTTTTGCCAATAGCTTAAGCATATGGCTAGCTAGTTCTTATATCTTAAATTAACCCATTTCTATTAATCTGTGTATTATCGTGAGGATGTAGCCTACTGGCAGGGTTCCGTCCATCAGGCGTCTGTCTAGTTGTGGCTCCATAGATTCTCTTTGACTCTGCCTACTCTCTCTCTCTACATCTCTGATCAGATTTCCTACCTGGATTTACTCTGTTAAGCCATTGGCCGAAAGCAGCTTCTTTATTAACCAATGGCAATAAAACATTTTCACAGCATAGATCACCTCCCACATTACCTCCCCTTTTCTGTCTAAATAAAAAGGAAGGTTTTAACTTTAGCATAATAAAATTAGATATAAAAAAGTTGTCAAGCAAGAATTATAGTTACAATATTTATGTCTACTTTATCTTTTATCATAACTAAGGAAAAATATAACTATCTATTCTTCAACTCCATCAAAGAACCTAGAAGGATATTACCTAAGTAAACAAGAAGTACATTGTAAGCAACTTCTAAAACTCTAATTGATAGAGACATCTCGCTGCCTGTACAGTCACCCAAAGTTCTTCTGTAACATTGGGGTACCTATCTTCATCCTAGAGGTCCATAATATCTGGCAGACCTTTTCATGAAGCAGGAAATTTGAAGATCTCTTATGCCATGTACTGGCAAAGTTCATCAGTTGCTTTCTTCTGTGTCCTGGAAAATGTCTGGCAGGCTCTTTCATGAAGCAGGAACCCTGAAGGACTGTCTCACCTTTAGGCAAGTTCAGCAGTCATTTTTCTGTGGGTCCTGCATGTCCAGTTCATAGAGCATAATATCAAACAGTCCAGGCAAGAGCAGTTTCTTGCTCAAATGGCCAGCAAACTCCATAAGGAGTCTCTTCAATGCCCATTATCCTCTTTAATTGGTGCTGCTAGGAGCAGATGTGTCTCACTGTCATGAAAAGTCCTAAATTCTTAAAGCATTTTAAATGCCATATTCTGAAATCTTTGAAAGATTTGAAATATATCTGAAATATATCTCTGTACATCTAGAAAACTTAGATAACATGACTATAAGCTTGACTATTATAGATGACTATCTATTAACCTGTACTTCTTAATTATACATTTTTAAATGAGCTACACAAACACAATACCGTAAATCAAGAGCACAAATATACATATAACAAAATTGACCTTAAATTTATATCAATAAACCAAGATCCATACTACTGCAAATCTCTATAGCATATCCCCCTTAAAATGTAAGCAAGCACTTAGAAGCAATATTTGAGGAATTTGGGCATAGTTCTTTCCAAACTGCTTCCTGCTTTTTGTTGGACAAAGTAACTTTTGGGGGTGTTCATGGTGAAATTTCAGGGGTCTTGATCTGTCAAACCACATTAGCCTGG